GTCTAATCGCTTCTCCATCGCATAATGTGGGGTCTATAATCTCAAGGAGTCCAATTTGATTTCGTTTTTTATTTATATTGAATGCTTCTTACTCGAAAAAGAGAGAGAGGGAAAAAAAATACTATATTCATTCTCATCTATCCAATAACAATTTTAAAGAATTGTATTTCTTGTTGATAATAGTTTTCATTTCGGAGGATTTTTATCATCATCTTTACGATTAGTACATTTTGTTAATCTCTTTTTTATTGATTAACTTTCGTTCTTTCAAAAAGGTATTGTTATTAATACTGCTGTATTAAGAAAATACTTACATAAATAACAAATACATTATTATTTATTTAAGTTCTTTCTATTAGCACGACAAAATAGTAATGCTGTTTACAGTATTTTTACTTACAGTATTTTTTACTTATAGTATTAGTACCTAGAGTATTTTTTACTCACAGCATTTTTACTTAAAATACTGTTTACATATAGTATTTTTATTTACAGTATTTTTTTACTATTATACTATTTTACTTATAGTATTTTTTTTATTTTTATTCATTTTTACTTTTAGTATTTTTAATATTTTACTTGTACTATTTTTACCCTAGTATTTTTTTACTAATAGTATTTTTACTTACAGTATTTTTTATTTATAGTATTTTTACTTTCAGTATTTTTTATTTATAGTATTTTTACTTTCAGTATTTTTTACTCATAGTATTTTTACCTACTGTATTTTTTACTAATAACATTTTTACTTAAAATACTTTTTAAATATAGTATTTTTATTTACAATATTTGTTTACTATTATACTATTTTTACTTTTAGTATTTTTACTTACAGTATTTTTTACTTATAGTATTAGTACCTACAGTATTTTTTACTCACAGCATTTTTACTTAAAATACTGTTTACATATAGTATTTTTATTTACAGTATTTTTTTACTATTATACTATTTTACTTATAGTATTTTTTTTATTTTTATTCATTTTTACTTTTAGTATTTTTACTATTTTACTTGTACTATTTTTACCCTAGTATTTTTTTACTAATAGTATTTTTACTTACAGTATTTTTTATTTATAGTATTTTTACTTTCAGTATTTTTTATTTATAGTATTTTTACTTTCAGTATTTTTTATTTATAGTATTTTTACTTTCAGTATTTTTTATTTATAGTATTTTTACTTTTAGTATTTTTTATTTATAGTATTTTTACTTTCAGTATTTTTTACTCATAGTATTTTTACCTACTGTATTTTTTACTAATAACATTTTTACTTAAAATACTTTTTAAATATAGTATTTTTATTTACAATATTTGTTTACTATTATACTATTTTTACTTTTAGTATTTTTACTTACAATATTTTTTAAAGTAAAAATATTGTAAGAAAAAAACTGTAAGTAAAAAATACTCCAAAGTAAAAATAGTAAAGGTAAAAAATACTACAAGTAAAAAAATATTGTATGTCAAAATACTAAAAGCAAAAAAATACTAAAAATAAAAATACTCTATGTAAAAATAGTAAAAGTACAAAATATTACAAGTAAAAATACTATATGTAAAAAATACTAAAAATAAAAATACCCTAAGTAAAAATAGTAAAAATAAAAAATACGCTAAGTAAAAATAATGTAAGCCAAAAATTACTGGAAGTAAAAAAATATTGTAAATAAAAATAGTAAATGTAATAAATACTATAAGTAAAAATATCTACTAAAAATAAAAATACTGTAAACAAAAAATACTTTACTTATAGTATGTTTTTTTACTTTCAGTATTTTTACTAACAGTATTTTTTATACTTCTGGTTAGTGACTTATAATATTCGAAACTTTTGGTTAGATTATTGTTACTGGTGGTATTTTACACTTCTGATTAGAGTTTTGTTACTTTCAAGTACTTACTTCTAGCGTCAACGTTTTTTTTTGTCGAATTTAAGAAAAATTTTTGTTACAAATTTTCCATGAGGAATTTATTTTTGAATAATTCACCGAGGCAGAGTGAATTGCATATGACATGAGCCGCAGTGCTTTATTTTTCCCCGAGTTCTGAAGCTCGCACACAGGAAACGATTGCCCCTGGCCTCGACGCATATTGACAGGCCATGCAAATTGACTATTTCCTAAACCCGTTTACTTAGCCATTTTCTCAGGGCAGAATTTGCATTGCGCCACACGCATACAGCATTACGCGCATCAGAATTGCCAACTCGTTTTTCTGTGGCTGACATTGTTTCAAGTTCCGACACGTTGATAAATTGAATCGCTAATAGTTGCGCTAAATCACAGTGGGAAGTGTTTATTGCAATCACAAATCGTCTCGACCGAGTGCGTTTCTTTTTTTTTGTTTTTACATTTCTTTTTTTTTTTTTTTTTGTTTGTTTAAACTCCATAGTCGAGTCAAACTAGAATTCAAGCTATTGCATTCTGTCGCCTGTGTACAATTTTTTTTTTTTTTTTTTTGCATTCTTTTTTTATCGTCTCATATAGAAGAAAAATGCCTCGAACGATGAAGAAAAGTGGAGCCACTTATTCATGCTATGAATTATTTATCCTTCTGAGTGGTAAAAGTATTTTTCTTTAAGTAGTCTCGAGATGTAAATTTTCATAAGAAAAAAAAAAATATATCTGAAATTTCATTAGGAAGTTTCTATATAAGAAATTGCAAATGAATTTTTATTTTCACATCCTTTTTTTTCAAATGATTTTTATTTTTTATATTCATTGACTAACTGAAAGAAATCCACTGCAATATATTCTAAACAGATGTTGTTGTTTTTTTTTTATTCTCGACCGCAGAAGATTTTCACAAAATAGATTTTTCAAAGTTTATTCAGAGTTTTGCGAATAGTAGAATACGTATTGCATCAAAGAGATTCTCGAAAGTTTTAGAGCAAAAAAAAAAGGAATTATTTTTGTTTTTTTTTTTAAGAGTGTGTCTAAAAAAAATCCTAGTTTCTCGAGTGATTTTTCGAGTATATATATAAAAAAAGAGATGCAAGAGCGCGAAAATCTACACGTTGTTCGCTCTTACTATCGCGACCTCGATTCGGGATTCAAAATTTTACGCGCCCTCAAGCGCACAACGGATAAGAATCACGATTTTAACAAACTGCGGTAGAAAACTTCGACTTGAAGATAAAACGTGGCTGCATAAGCTCACCAAATTCGTTGAGATGAGATCTTTTCTTCGTTTTAACATAACATTTGTTATTTTTACAGGATTGTGAATCTTGAGTATACTTTTGTATTTATTATAGAAAAAAGTGAAGGAGGGGAATTTTTTTTTTCTCTTTAATTATAATAATATTGAAACTAACAATTTTTTGAAACTAATTTATTTATAGATAACTTTATTAACTATTTTTTTTAAATTCTTTTTTTGGAAAATATTAAAAATTTAAAAATATGTATAAAATATAGTATTGTGAATATTATATACATGTATGTTTCTTTCATTTTCCGATTGTCTCTTCTATGAAGAAAATCTCTTCTTTCTTCTTTCATCTTAACGACTTCCTGCACATTACCTTAAATCCCTGAAAGCGACCTTCCGTATCTAAGCGAGAGCATGAAGCTCTAGCGAGATGTTTGTAATTAAAGCTATGGCCCTCTCCATATATAATTCACGATCCGTTTCACGGTGAAAGCTTCTCTACGAGCTTTGAGCTTCCTTTCCTTCCTAACTCTGTCTGCAATGCCTCTCTTCACTTGTTATCCTCATCCTTCTTTCCATTCCACTTCAAAAACTGATTTTCATAACCCATTACAATTTTACTCTTTAAAAAACTTTTAAATTTTATCCTTTACTATTCTTCTTTTCTTGTAGTTCATTTACTTTTATTAGATATTATCTTCTTCTTCTTTTAATTAAATCAATAAAATAAGTAAAAAAAATTAAATAATTATTATATTATTTTTTGTTTCAATTTTGGAAGAAAAATAATTTTTTTATTATATTATTTCTTTGTCTTTTGATTTAGGATGAACTTTTTTAAAAAAGAAAAATTAAAATAGAATGATTTTTTCAAGTTATTTTATTATTAATTTTGAGTTGCACAAACTTTTAAGAAATTAATCTTTTTATAGAAGCCGAATAACTTTAATTTTATGCCAAAGTAATACATATTATCTAATTATTTTTTCGTTTTCGTTTATAAAAACGTTGCGGACTTTAGTTTCATTTTTATTAATTTGTTCTGAATATATTATAAGTTTCTGCATATGTGTTGTTTTTAAACTTTATGAATTAATAATAATAATTTGAATCTTGCATATATTTTTCTCGACATATAAATGGACATAATAAATATTAAATACCTAATAAAAAAAAAATAACCGTTTTTATTCTATATGAATAAAATACCAAGAATAAAAATTCATCTTAATGTCAATCTACTTTTTATTCTTAACAATATTCATGTATAAAAATATAATTTTAGTTTTTCGAATAATCAATTATAAATACATTAAAAAATTAAATGAAAAAAAAAAAAAAATAATATCAGTGACAAAATAATTTTTTTACTTTCAGTAAATTAGATGAATTTGCAAATTTTATAATTCGTTTATTTAAATAAATTATAAAAATATATTGTTACAAAATTGATTTTTTTTTTAGTTTTATTGTTATTATTTTTTTCCCAACTAGCGGATGTATAATAAGGAAAGATTTTTAAAGATTTGATTTTTTTTTTTTTTTTTTTCAATAAATGATAATGAGTGAAAATGAAAAGTTGTTTTTGATGATATTGTCACGATGAAAACTAGGTCAGCATTGAGGAAACGTTCTGAATTCATTTTCCACATACCATCAATAATTCAAATGCGTTCCATTATTATGCACCTGTGATATCAGAAGCTGTTGGCGCGTTGCACACAACAGACATTTGAATTATATGCACACGACACACGAGATTGCGGTCTTTGGAATGCAATTCGTCCCCCCCCCCCTCCACGTCAATTCTGTCACGCTGCATAATATAAATTTCATTTTCCAGGTGGCTTCATCTGCTTTTTAACCTCGGGGTACAATTGGTCGTTGGACTACCACTTGAAATGGTCCATGGGAGTTTGAGGATAGGAGCAGTCTACATGGCTGGTGTCTTGGCTGGTAAGTAACTCCATTTATTTATATCTCTTTTAATTTATCTTCTATTTATTTTTTTATGTCAAAAAAGAATAATTTTGCATTTATAAAAAAAATGCAAATTAAAATACATCAAAATTTTTCACAAAGTTTCGATAAGAAAATGATATAGCTCGTCGATTCTTTGAGAGAATCTTTTTTTTTTTTTTTTTTTTTTAAGATGATATTTGGTCGATTTTGCATAAAATCAAGTCGTTACTTCGCGAAGAAAGTTGAGAGCTAATTAAGAAAAATTGTACCACTGCTCATTAGCGGAGAATGAGATCAAAATCATTTGTTGAACGTTTGGAGTTTTGCATTTTTTAACAAAGAGATGAGAAAAGAAAGGCATCTTTCTCTCTTCATTCCATATATGCTATTTTGTATAGTAAGTGTATATCAGTGTATTCACAATATATATATATAACGTTAACTAGGTCAATGTGTATACGTAAATTTTTCGGTTTGAACGCAAAAACAAGAGGAATACCTCGTAAAAAGATTCATCCGAGCGTTTACAAAGTGCCACTCTTAATGACCGAGTACTATTTTAAAAAAAGGAATTCCCGTGTTTTTCATTCTATATATATATGAGCCTCACACATATACAAAGCGACAAAACTTTCCATTCTCAGTTTCTACAAAATAAAAAAAAAAAAAAATTTCTGAATACACGAATCCGCGAAATTGTTGTTTGAACGCAATCCTTTGATGTTTGACGTTTTGTCACTATTTTTTTTTTTTTTTACTTTTACCTCTAAATGCAATATTGCTTTCTATTTTTAAAAACGTAAACAATAGTTTATCGTTTGTGCTTTATTTAATTTTTTTTTTTTACAAGTATTTTGTCGCGAATTGTTTAATGTATATGTCGGAAGTTGAACATTGGTCACACGATACAATAAATGTGCCTTAACATTTTCCGCAGTCTGTCAAGATTCCGTTTGTTCATCCATCCGTTCGACGTTGGTCGACCATCCATTCGGTCACAAACCCTTTCTCTCTTCGCATCTTGTTAGCACGTTATTCCGTCACGACAACAACAACAACGAATACCGATTGCGTGACAGTGGCAATTATGCTTGTATTTGCATGTCGTATCAGTCTCTCTACGCTGCCACTAACTTTACAACGATAGCCGCAACCTAGTTGTGCATTCTACCTACGTCCCCTCTTTGTCGCATTTACAATGATGAGCAGATTTCTGTAATTTATGTTTGTCAAGTGAAACACTCCCTTTCACCCTCTACGTTTTAAACTAATTTTCAACCTCTGAAATTAACTTCAATTCGTATTATGAAAATTCTTTGCGACTAATGATGATAATTTTATCATAAAAAAAAAAAAGAAACGAAGGATGCTGTATATTTATTATGCAATGCAGCGATACTCTCTCTTTCAATTTGAATTTGTGAGAATTCGTTCACTAATTCAAATTGGTAGAAATTTTCTTTAATTTTTACAAAAAATATTATTATTTAATTTAGTAAAATTTTTTTTACTAAAGTTTTAGAAAAAAATCACTAAATATTAGTAGAAACTTTTTAAAATTTTTAGTTAAATATTACTATTTGTTTTAGTAATATTTTTTCTTTTAGGGAAAAATGACTAAAAATTAGTAGAAAGTTTCACTAATTTTTAGTTAAATATTACTATATGATTTACTAATATTTTTTCTTTTAGTACAAATTTAATAAAAATCATCAGAAACTTCCACTAATTTTTAGTTCAATATTACTACTTGTTTTAGTAATATTTTTTCTTTTAGTGAAAAATCAATAAAAATAAGTAGAAAGTTTCACTAATTTTTAGTTCAATATTACTACTTGTTTTAGTAATATTTTTTCTTTTAGTGAAAAATCAATAAAAATAAGTAGAAAGTTTCACTAATTTTTAGTAAAATATTACAATTTGATTTAGTAATATTTTTCTTTTAGTAAAAAATAACTAAAATCATTAATATTTGATTTAGTAATATTTTTTCTTCTAGTGAAAAATAACTAAAAGTTGGTTAAAAATTTTCAAGAATTTAAATTAATTAACTAATTCTCATTAATTTAAATTTAGAGAGTACAATTATTAATTAGAAATATAGTAGTTTTTCAGAACTGACAATAATTAGCTATATACACAATTTACTTAGGTATCAAATTAGTAACATAATTTTCTGTTTATTTCAAAAAAAAATAAATATAATTCGTTTGATTCAAATAAATAATTATTTTTTCTAAATAAACATTTGATTTATTTTGATAAATGTTTAGGCGCATTAAAATATATTTGTAAAGTAATTTAAGATAATCCTCAAAACTTTACAATATTTTCTATATTTTGAATTTTAGTTTATAATATTCTGAATTTAAGATTTGTCACGTACAACTTAATACTTTTATTAGAATTTATAAGTTTTCAAATTGCTATAATCCTTATTGTAAATTTTGTCTGAAAAACATAGTCATTCAAAAAGGTAATAAACGATCTGGAGACTAAACTCTTGTAATTATCAACGCAGGTAACAAACCCTGTACACTAGGACCCTTCAGGTCGAAATTAAGAATTGAAGATAATCGACATTTTCCGTCTAACTTCGTGTATTTTCGTAAATACTGAGTTTACCAATTGTCACTTTCAGACTTAAACAGGTATAATTGTAAGACCAGTTGTCTGTTCACCACCGTCAAGCACTGTAGTCTAGAAAATATATTGTTTTTTACTTTTAAAATCCTGGTGTTATCATTGACTTCACCTTATACGTCATAACTACTGATAATTATCAAATTAATTATCAAGACATTTACGCGTTTTGACATTTGAATTAAAATCAAGATTAACGTAATTTATAAAATTCAAAATAAAGTCAATTTTGCGTGTATGTCGCCCTAACAAATGGTCCTTCGAGCCGGATTCTCTAACTACGCGACCGCGAAGTGGTGATAAGTGTGTGTCATTTCATACTTAAAGACAACTTAGACGTTTAATCGTAACCCGAATCAACTGTTTTATAAAACGAAAAAATAGAATTTCGTGGTGATACTTAACAGTGATTGTGTCTAAATTATACTCCTTTAATAATCGAAAAAGGATTACAAAGTCCAATCACTGAACATTTTAACATTTAATTAGTTAACATCTCAAATCGTGTTTGTGGTGTATAACAAAACATTGGAACTTTTGACTCTTATATACGAACAGTGTAATTTCGGTACTTATACGCAGTTAAAAGTGTGAGTGCAAGTTAAAAGACACTGAACACAATCAATTTGTGGAGCTGTTTTCTAAAAAATTATCAACAACCGAAGATCAACACAATCTAGTTCAACCTGGAGAGGATCTCTACCAACTGCCAAGGGCTGCCACCAACGCACAAGGATTTCTACAAAAGGTAGGCTTGTTATCGCTTTATCCAAAACTTTCCTCTGAATCTAATCCATTAATCCTCATTTCATAATGGCAGAAATCCAAGACAAAGTTAAATCCCTGATTAGAAAACGCTCAACTCACAAAGCACAAATTACTAATTATAAGAAATTTCTCGAAGAGTATAAAAAGCTTCCGACAAGCTTAATTAAATTAAACGTTCGTTTAGAAAAGTTCAAAGCTAGTTTTGAAAATTTTGATCAGGTTTCGGATGATCTTGAAACTCTTGACGAAGCTAGCAGTCATGACGTACAGAGATTTGAAATCGAAGAAGATTATATCAATATTTTAACAGAATTTGAGGAACTAAAAGCTGTTGCACAACCAAATACTCAAAGTGGTATCGCGAATATTTCAGGTTCCCAAGATGCGAATACAGCATCAAATTTTGCCTCACGAACAATGAAACGACGTGTCAAATTACCAGAAGCTTCACTTCCTAAATTTAGCGGAAAATATGAAGACTGGTTATCTTTCAAAGATGCTTTTACATCTATGATTCATGACCAGGAAGATTTAAGCAACGTTGAAAAACTCCAATATTTAAAATCGGCAGTAGTCGACGAAGCCGCGAATAAAATTAAGACGTTGGCTATAACTGATGGTAATTATGACCGCGCGTGGAACTTGTTAAAGAGTGCATACGCAGATAAACGTTTAATTATTTCCAGACATCTGAGCCTCCTTCTTCGGCTTCCTAAACAAGAAAGAGAAACCGCGGAAGGGCTGAGACGTTTAGCAGACGAAACGCAACAGCATTTAGAGTCCTTAAAAACACTGGATATTAAAATCAGCGAAGAGATTGTTATTCAAATTTTAGAAGAAAAATTATTTAAAATCACAGCGGAGAAATGGGAGGAAACTCTGACACGCGATACTTTTCCAAAATTAGACGAAATGATAGAGTTTTTATATAAAGTTGCTTCTAGAGTCTCTAAACGCGAAAGAGATAACAATACTCAAAAATCAACTCAACCTTCTAACTCCGGTAAACCGTTAAACAATAAAAATACTAAAAATAAGTCGCCAGACGCGACAAGACAAGCTTTCGTTTCGAAAACCGAAAAAACTTGTTCAATTTGCCGTGAAGCAGGACATCCTGTATATAAATGTAACAAATTTCGAGCGTTAAGTGTTCCTAAGCGAATCCAAGCAGCCAAAGAAGCAACTCTTTGCTTGAATTGCTTAAGAAGTCACGGGGATAAGCCTTGTAACTTTTCCAATTGTCTGATTTGCTCGGAACCTCACAATACGTTACTTCACGATTCAAAAACGCAAGGAAGTTGACAGCTAAATCCTACGGGTATGGAACATTTTAGTTTTGCAACTACAATTAATGTGCCGACTAGTCAACTAATCACTAGTGCGGTAATTAACGTTTATGACAGAAACAAACAATTAAAGATTGGTCGAGCATTGCTCGATACTTGTGCTACCGCAAATTTCATAACTGAAAACTTTTTAGATAAACTCAATTTACCTAAACAAAAATGTTCTATACCTATAGGAGCATTAAACGATTTGTCAACGGTAACTAAGCACATCGTTAAATTAACCATACGTTCAAG